GTGCGTTTGATTTGCTTGTGTGTCAGCATGCCGTAACAAAAGCTCACCTGTAGGTATTCCTTGAAAGTGTAGTATATCTCTGCTAGAATAGGCAGATAAGCCCCTTTGTTTCTGTAGGACAAACCATTTACTCTGTCTTTCACAGCTGAAAATGTTGCAGTGCTTTTCTTGCATTTGAGCTGTGCTGGTTTTCTGCTGTTTCCTGGGTTTTTTTATTACTTTTTTAGATGCTCTTTCCTTTGTTTCAAAAGCTGTCATTCTTGCTGTGGTATTACTTCCCACCTAAAGCTGAAATCTGTTACTTCCCTTGTATGTGCGTTTAGTACAGAAGACAGTCATGAAGCTAAATTCCTTCCTCCTTCCCCCTCCCCATTTGCTTCCTGTACTTCAGTCTCCTCTCGTCCTCCAGCTTGCTCTTTGTATTCTGTGATCATTCAAAATCTTTTTCCAAGGCTCTTTTCATTCTTTGCTGTTGGTCTGTCACTGAGTATGTTTCTTTGGTCACTGCTGAGGACTTTTTCCTTCTGCACAACATCTCTGTTTTTTACCTGCTTTGCAATGCCACTGTCTTATCTTTCAGAAGATCTTCATCCTAACTTTTGTATTCAACTCTGAAGCTAGTGTGTTTTCTCCAAGACCTGATGTGTGTTTTCTTGTGTTCTGCAGGATACATCTAATAGATGAGTTCAATACAGATATGGGTATATTCGTATTCCTCCTGTCAACCAAAGCTGGTGGCTTGGGAATTAATCTGACTTCAGCAAATGTTGTTATTCTTCATGACATTGATTGCAACCCATACAATGATAAGCAAGCAGAAGACCGATGCCATAGAGTAGGTCAGACAAGGTAAGACTTTTTTATTCTAATGCTTGGCTTTTCTTGGAGACAAGCTCTCAAAAGAGGCTAAAAGGACAATGTTTTATGATTAAAAATTCTATTTTAAGCAGACTTGTGTAAAACAGCTCTAGGCTGTGTGAGAGCTAAGTGACTGTAATTGTCTTAGCACATCTTGGTGCCACAACAAACCTTACTTATATTCTCTTCCCCTTTCAAGTCCTCAAATTCTCTGTGTAATTCTCAAATTTCTGGTGCTAGGAACCATTTCAAGGCAGATCTGAAGTCTTCGGAACTGTTTGGCAAAGTTATTTGTTCCCTTCAGGAGATTCCTAAGCTCTAAAGTGCCACCTTCTCTTAAAGAATGAAACCATGGACTGTTTGAGTCCTCCGTCAGAATAAACTAACATGAGCAATAGAACATGTTTCATAACTGGTATTTCAGCTGTACTATGGCATGATGGGGAAGTTGAGTTGTTTCTGTTAATGGATATTTTTGTGACTGTCCCGACTCTGCGGTGGCAGGGAGTGCAGGAGAAAACAAGTTTTCAGGCAATATGGAACACAGTTGGTCCAGACAGAAAAACTAGAAGCTCTTTGTATTGTCCTTTGTTCATTTCCTCCTCCTTGTTTTAAACCACTGCCAGCTGAGCAAAGGCATAGCCTTCTTCCCTTTTGCACTAATCCAAAGAAAGTACAAACCCAGATTTATCCTATTTTGTGGTTTTCAGAGAAGTAAAAGTCATAAAGCTAATCAGTAAGGGGACTATTGAAGAATCCATGCTCAAAATCAGCCAGCAGAAATTGAAGTTAGAACAAGATATGACTGCAGCGGATTCGGGTAAGTCTGTTGTGCATAATGATGTCCACTGTAGTGAATTAAGGTTGCTACAAAATTATTCTGAAGAAGTTTCTTGATGCAGTCGAGCCTTTTTTTCATGTTAAATAAACTAGAAAGATGTATTTTTGTTGGTTATTGTTCGGTTTGACAGGAAGCGCCCTCTGAGTCTGACCCACAAATCAATGACAGATTCCTACAAGTAGAAGGTTTTTGAGACCTAGATTTTTGTCTGTTTATGTGAAATATTTTGAGCTGTACTAACGCTTGCTTTTCTTCCTCAGGAGAAGAAGGAACCATTCCAGCTGATATAGCCACACTATTAAAAGCTTCGTTAGGTCTCTAAAATGAAATATGTTGTAGAAGACAAGGAAGAAAGGTGATGCTGTACCCCAAGGACTCTTACATTACTGATGACCACGAGTTTTATGAACATTTATAACTTTTTATAGTTTCTTTATTGTATTCCTCATGGTATTGAAAATTTTTAACACCGATAGCATTCTTTTTATGCTTAAAAAAAATAAACAGCCCAAATGTGCCAACATCAGATGCTGAATAAACATTATTTTACAGATCACTTTTCAAAACGGGGACCTAAGTAGTAGTTGTTTTAACAAATCTGCTACTGCTTAAGATTTGTCAGTATTTTTGTAATTATTTCTACCTCCAAATAAATATATATAAACTGTCTGTTTCACTGGATTATGCGTGTAGATTTTTTTATATGTGCCTTATTTGACAATGCTCGAGTCCGTTTCTGCTTGTTTTGGTTCATTTGATGTACCGTACTGGTTTTGTATCAACTTGTTCAAATAAAATTCCATAGATGAACGAAATGTTTTCATTTTGTGGTTATTTGGAGGGATGGGAGTGGTGATAACTTGCATGTTATAAATCAAATAGGCAGCTTTCAAACTAGCTGAAATGTTCCATTTGAACCGACTTGGCTTTATCCAGCAGTAGTTAATTGATGTTTTGTTACACTCCAGTCATGGTTGCGTGAACTCAGAGTAGTTAAGACTCAGACTGCTGCTTTTTTAGAAGCTTAGGGAAGGCAAAGTATGGGAAAATCCTTATTGCCCCTGCCCTCCGTTAAAGCTTCATCTGCTCTGTGCAGAGCTCAGCAAATCTGTACCAGGCAGAATCTCTCGGAGGATTGCGTCCTAGAATTCCCTCTGGCTTGCAATGTGGGTTGCTAGCTGGTTTGCCACTTTTCTCTGTGTAGTTATCACAGTCAGAAGACACTTTTGAAGGGACTTAAACAGTTTTATATGAAGAGTAGGGAAGAGGAGCTGGAGTGCATGGTTGCCCAGTATTTCAGTCTGTCTTCAGATGCTGCTAGTGATTAGTCAGTGAGGTGATCTGCAAGTTGGACATCTGGGGTTTTTTTTATGATTTGGTTATGGCCGTGGGTGTTTTTAACCAACTATGCATGTTTTTTTGCAAATAAGAAATGGATGGAAAATGAAAGCTTTTAAAATTATTTCAAAGTTTGAACTAAATTTTACTTGGCTTTTACTAGAAGTCTGTGGCTGTGCTGCGTGTTCCAAACTGCACAGCTGAAAAAGCGTGAATATATGGGAATGTCAGCTCTGCTGCCCTGCTGTAAGGGAGAAGGTTAAGAATCAGTTTGTCTACCATGCTGCTTTAATTCCACCTGTTTTGTTGGACTAAATAGTGGGAGTCAACAGACAACCACAGATGTCTAATGTTGCAGTTAATGAGGTTGTCTGTTTCTGTCGAGTGTGATCTTAACCCAGCTCTTATCCCATTGTTTTTGCATGTTCTCACCTGTTTGCTTCAAATGTGACACGAAATACAATGCCTGCCCTATAGAGTGGCTTGTGTGGCATTTCAGTTTGGTCAGTCTATGTAATCAGTTAATGCTGTCTGACTGAACAGTTGGTTACACCTTGAACAATCACATCACTAGATCCCTGGAGTCAGTATCTGTCTTTAAGTGCTATGAAGCTCATACGTCTTTCTGGCTTTTTTTCTTTATTGTAACTGTTTCTACTCTGTTTAATTGGAAGTCTTAAGAGATTGTAGAGTTACCATCCTTGGAGATATTCAAAAGCTGCCTGGACACAGTCCTGGGCAGCTGGCTCTAGGTGGCCCTGCTGAAGCAGGAGATTTGGACCAGATGATCTCCAGAGGTTCCTTCAACCTCAACCATTGTGTGGTTCTGTGTCTCTGGTTGGGAAAGATGTACAAGGCAAAAAACAAAAACAAAACCAAAACAACCCCCCAAAAAAACACCTATCTGAAGTCTGTTGCTGAAGAAGAGAGGAGAGTGGAAGCTGAAGAAGAGATGGGGAAAAAAGAAAGCCAAACAAGAAACAAACCCAAACTCTGAAGAGCTAGAATAAAGCATGTAAGGAGTCGCAAAGCAGGTGGAGATACCCTATTGGAATGAGCGAAAGATTGGACCGTGTTTTCAGTTCTGCCAATACCTAGTTTGTCTCTGAACTGTTAGTGGTTGGTTGGTATCACTTACATGATTCAATAATACTTATGGTGGGAGGGAAAAGCAAGTGTGAAGGGAAATACTTGCCCAACAGTGGCCGTTTCCAGCCCAGAGGATTACCCAAGTTTGTTGTGGTTTATCTGCTTTCACCAGACAGTGAAGTCCTCTTGCAAGCACTTGTCTCCCCTTGAGTTTGTGTAAACTGCTTGCATCTAGAACCATCCATGTTGCCAGTGTTTCCACTTACCTGTTTTCCCCAGTGCCAGAAGAACAAACTGCTCGTTCATTTCTTCTAAGTCTGGTTTCCACCCCTACCACCACCGCCCTCCAATTTGTGTCTGCTGCTTACTGGAAGAGGTACTGAGCTGCTGAAGGTTTTTGCAGCTGGTGCCCTTATGGAGTGCTGGTGCTGGTGTGGACACCAGCTCAGCTGAGCAGCTGCATTTTGGTTTGGGTTGGGGGTTTTGTTTTGGGGTTGGGTTTGGTTTGGTTTAGTTTTTTTTTTGCCATAGCACAGCATAAACTTCAATGCTAAAGGAAGTTTTTGAGAAGGCTGAAGTTTGTTGACTAAGTGGGTCTTTTTTGCTTAGTGTCCTTACTCCTCCCACACATTTATCCTGTTTGTTAATTAGGCTGCTTTCCTCCAGATTGAAAGTCTACAATAAACAAAGTATTGTTGAGATTGTGCCTCTCCAGGAAGGTTTATTCATCTCTGCTCCCTTTGAGAGCCCACAGAACAGTAACTGGGTTGATCAAGCACTTTATTAGTAGCAGGGGGAATGTGGTTGAAAGCACACCTCTCCCTCAGGCTCTACTCTACTAAATCAGCTTTCTAGATTTTTTCGCCTATAAATGGACACAAGTGGTAGATTTTGATTTGGTACAGCATACCCATCTGAAATTAATTTAAATGATTCTGAAATTAATAACTTAGGATGCTTGCCATGTTGAAAACTAAACATGCATTTGTTTTTTCCAGTCTGAACAGCTGCTCTACATTATTGTCTTTGGTCTTTTCTGGATCCAGGCTGCGATAGCTGGAAGTGCTTGCACTCTGTCTCTGAGAGCCACAAGCCTGGGGTAGGTGTCTGCCAGGTCAGGTTTACAGGACAGAAGTGTCGTACTGCACACTTCCCAGTAGAAGTCAGCCCATGTTACCTGGAGGAAATGAGAGAGAAATTTTAGTGGTAACCTCAGCAGCTGGGACTACTAATATTTCCAGCAAACTGCAGAAATGAAGCATGAATTGATCTGGTTTGTATTTGGTGGGGTTTTTTAGAGCCTGTAATTGCAGAAGTGGTAATTACATTGCAATGCAAGGCTTGACTTGGAGTAAAAATTGGTTAAATAAAGCCCTTGCTACAAACGTTACTTGCATTATAATATTAATCTTTCCTG